TATAACCTACAATTCCCTTAGTTACGGGTCAAGTGAATAGCCAGGCCTGGCATGGCCAGGTGGTTAGGGCGCTCGACTAGCAATCTGAGGGTCGCGGGTTCGAATCCCCGTCCCACCAAACATGCTCGACCTTTCAGCCGTGGAGGCGTTATAATGTTGCGGTCAATCCCACTATTCGTTGGTAAAAGAGTAGCCCAAGAGTTGGCTGTGGGTGGTGATGACTAGTTGCCTTCCCTCTAGTCTTACACTGCTAAATTAGGGACGGCTTGCGCAGATAGCCCTCGTGTAGCTTTGCGTGAAATTCAAAACAAACAATCAAGTGAACAGAGTAATTAATGAAATCCGCATAAAACGACTTGAGTTATGATAATAGCGACGAAAAACGCTCTGTTAATATTCTTTAGAAAGAATTAGTTTTAAGAATAGATAACTGCTTCTCTCAGAAAGAATAGTTTTAGCACAACTGTTAATATGCTAAACATCTTTAAGTATAATAAAAATTATGTATTAAAATTGTAGTCCGAAGTTATGAGGCAATTTATCAGAGAGTTTGAAGCTCCCTAACGGCTTGTAGAAAAATTGTATTCCCATATCTAATATATGCATATACATATTTTAATTTTAGTGGTTGATGTTTCGCGAATGTTAAGGAGGGTCTTAGATCTACCTTCAACAACTTGATATTTTTCTAAGACTTGAGAGAACTTACATAATCTAATATAAAGTTATAAGAACGCTAAAAAAACTGCTAGAATTACAAGATTGACTTGCTGTATCATACACAGTATTCATTTTAACTTAGTATAAATGAATTGCAAACATAAATATATTGAAAGAATGTGGTGTGCAAAAAACAACAACAAACTTTCCGATTCATGGAAGGTTGTACAAAATGGAAGAAAGATAAAAAAAAAGGCATAAAGGTATATACAGCCAGGTAGGTAAATACAGAGAACTAAAGGCTTTTGATAAGCTGTCATTTAATCCTTAGACCATAATAATTCTCTAACTTAAAACTAAAAACAGAAACTTTTCTTCTATGCTTATTATTTCATCTGCATCTATATATATACATTTTTTTTTCTCTGGGATATACAAGAACAAAATCAGTGTTCTGGTGTGAGAACATTGACATAACAAATAGGGTTTGATTTAATATTATGAATAATATGTTGTTTTTAATTGTTATAGGGCCGTGAGCATGTCACGTGAGTCTAACTTAATAATTATACCACTCTATTCCTACAACACAAGTTTCCAAGAAACTTTATTAATATCAAACTAATACAACTGATACAGAATTAGAAACTAATCCAAGTAAATAGTGATCATTTACACACATACACACACAGTGCTCAAAGTTTTGAAACAAAGTACGTGCATGTGCGTCATTTACCGGCACAATAGCAATAGAACGAAGAGATTGAAACAGCTGTCAAACGCGAAAAACAAAAGATAAAATGAATAAAATAAAAGGTTTTAGAATCCCTCTGAGGCGTACTTAAGAGCCCCTGAAAGTTCCACGATTAGAGGTCGGGAATTTTAAAAGTTTCATCACAAGCAAGTAGATTAAGAGACAAGCTGAGTTATAGGATGGTATTTTTATTCCTTATTTAGGTTTTTTGAAGGCAATATGCAAAATTATAGCTAAAACGCAATAATGACAGAACCTAAGATTTTCATCTTTTTTTTTATTTCGTATGCCCCCACCCTCTGGTAGCTCAGTGGAAGGTCTGAGCGCTTATGAAACTGAAAATGAGATTTCGGTAATCGCGGAGGGCATAGTAGAGATAAAAACTATTGTATAGCTTTGCGCTTAACAATGAACAAACAAACAAATTATTTGGTGTGTGATAATGGCATGTTACATTATACAATATAATTATATACGTCACTCTAACGTTAGGAAATGATTAAACTAAATTAAATGCCTGCAATGATTAAAAAAACAGTTTCTTAGTTAATATTAATTTTGGTTCCTGGATAGTATAAGCTCTTCAAAGAAAAAAGTATCAAACCTTAAATGTAAATATACTTTAAACTTTGAAGTATGAAATCTCTGTAACATCATTTCATATTAAATTTACACAATCAGTTTTTGTTTGTTTGAAGTTAAGCACAAAGCTACACAATGGGCTACCTGTGCTCTGCCCACTACGGGTATCGAAACCCGATTTCTAACATTGTACGTCCGCAGACATGCCGCTGTGCCACTGGGGGTCTACATTATCAGAAGAAAAAATCCCACTTCGTGTATGGCGATATATCTTTACTGGATCATCATTTGATTTGATTGGTTGTTGTTAAACACAAAACTACATAATTGGCTATCTGTGCTGCGTTTATTACAAGTATCGAAACCTGGTTTTTAGCGTTGTAAGTCCACAGACATACCACTGTGCTACTTGGGGGCTACGTTACTTGATTAGAAATTATTTTTCTGATTTTGATAAAGCAATATTAACTGGCTTGTTTTAAAAGTATTGGATTAAAGTTATTAGTGTACTTTTTACTTAATGTAGAAATAAATAAGTAGCACAATGTATGTAGATGGGCAAGTGTGTTAACTAAAAGATGAAGAAATTTCTTTGCCTGAAAATGATTTTTCAGTAGTCGTTTTATTAAACAGTAACACTTAACTACATTACATCTACCTCATTCGTTATATAACTTAACCTCGAATCCCTCATTAATCTTATTTTCCCATACTTTCAGGTTTACTTGGTTTTCGCTACTATATATAATCCCCTTACCGAATGTTCTGATGGAAACAAGCAAAACAATTTGGAACAAATTAATTAACATTCATTAAAAGGAATAACAATATCATGAGACAATGTATGTCATCTATTTAATTGCATCTGTATGCAAATCAGAAATCTGATAATTCTTCATGTGATCTAAAAATGCAAATGACTAGTCATTCATTCTACACTCCTAAATTAACATTTGGTGGAGATGGTTTTACATCTTTAAAGTTCATGACAATTTACTTCAGTAAGAAGCATAACCACCACGAATATCAATTAATATCTGCTCCATAAATCCCTAAGGTACACTTCACAACTAGTCTGAAAGAGCTGTTTTCAGAGGATCATTAGTTTTTGGAGTCACTTGATGAGATGACACTCATCTCCAAAGAGAATCCTAATTATGTTAGATAGTATTAAAGTCCGTTAAGCGTTTTTTATTGCTGTTAATTACAAAGCTACACAATGGGCTATCTGTGCCATGCCCACCACGGGTATCGAAACCTGGTTTCTAATGATGTAAGTCCGCAGACATACCGCTGTGCCACTGGGGAAGGGGGCCTTTTAGTACACACTCTACTCAGATTT